TGTCACTTTTGGTATATTTCAACTATATATAACTCGTATATGTAATGTAAAACCTGCTTTGGGAGTTCCATTCTGTTCCGCAAGTATAAATGCTCTCGCTCACATTCTTATGCAAATTCAGCAATTCTATTATATATATAGGATATTCATTCTAATTAACCTCTCTTTAAGGGTTAAATGATTTAGAAGTGAACGCGTTAGAGAGTTTCGAATGCCTAACGAAACAATATTTTTGGAAAAGCAAATGGGAGCCACTACTCCAAAACACTCCAAATATAAGGTTAATTTGAAACATGTTTTAAAGTATATATTGTGATATTGCTGAGTTTTGTTTTTAAGTGTTTCTTACTCATACGTAGTTGCTAAAAACATTGATAATAGAATCAAATGTTTCTATATTTTTATTATTAAGTACTTTTTAAATACCAACCATTGATAGAAATATTAAATTTAATGTATGTTTGTACTTCTATGTGGAAAGGAATATTTTAAAGTAAATAGAATATTTTTGGTTAGTACGGTTTTACTATCCACGCCCGTTGAAGAACGTTCTGTTCGAAAGCTTGCGGTATTAAAGAAATTTACACAAGACGCTCCTCTTAATGCTTATTATTGTTTTTAATAATCGTGATTTTAAGAGTTTAATTTATACAAAATTAGAATGTGTTTGTACTTCCTTTCGCATAAATAAGTCGGTCTATTAATCCGAATCATTTTACTTCTATAAAGGCTTTACTGTTCATTAGTGAATTAGAATATTTGTTCTTATTGTGTGTGATACGAATATATAATAAAAATCTGGATGTTTGTACTTCTATTTTGGCTTCTTCGTTTATAAGTTATTTAATATTTTTGTATATCTTGTTGCATGTAGGTCTGTAAGTAAATTGATATGTTTTTACTTTAATGTGTGTGCTTGTATATCTGTAAGAAAAATATTATATTTGTACTTCTCTATGTGACTTTAAGTTGCCTTTTATCCCTTGTCAAAGATTACACAAATTCTATGAGTCCATGTTCTTCAAGCTGATATGACTGTAAAGTAAATTAAAATGTCTGTATTTTTTGTGTGTGGAATGAATGTAAATTACGATGTTTGTACTTCTATGTTGCCATGTATGTTTGTAATTGAATTATAACTTATGTGCTTCTATGCTGAATTGAATATCTGTAAAAATATTTTAATGTTGGTACTTCTTGTGCCAATTACATCTGTAAATAATTAATATGTCTGTACTTCTCTCTCTTCTTTATGGGTATGTATTTCTGTAATTAAATCAGGACTTACGTACTTATGTGCTAAATTGAATATTTGTAAAATATATGAATGTTATATTTATTGTGCCAATCACATGTGTAAATAATTTAATATGTTTGTACTTCTTTGTAGGGGGCGCATGTGTGGCAATATTCAATTTAAAATGTTTTTTTTTTTCTATTTTAACATGTATGTCTGTTATTAAATTAAGATGCTTGTTTTTCTAACTGAACATGTACTTCTGCTTATTCACCTGAATGTTCTTAGCTTTATGTTGGGTTATATGTTTGTAGGTAAATTAGGATGTCTATACTACTTGTGGCATGAACGTCAGTCTATATATTTATGGATGTTTCTGCTTCTATGTATGCTTGAATGTCTGGCTATGAATTTGAATTTTTCTATTCTATGTGGGCATGAATATCTGTCTATAATTCTGGATGTTTTAACTTTTATGTGGGCATGTGTCTCTTTCTATATATCTGGATGTTTCTCTACTACTATGTGGGCAGAAATGTCTGTCTATAATTCTGGATGTTTTAACTTCTATGTGGTCTTGTATATGCCTGTAAGTACGTATATGAGTTGTTTACATTCTATTGGATATATGCCTTCAAATAAATTAAAATAATTTCTCTTCTCTGAGGAATAATTTTCTTTATAAATTAGCAAGTTTGTATCTCTCTAGATGCATTCTTTAGCAAGTATAAATATTCATTAATGTGTGTATGACTATCTTTTGTCTATCTTTGGTTTATACGTATGTTATTTTTTATTTTTATATTTAATCTATATTATACCTGTTTTCTATACATGTGTAAATATGTTACTCTAGATATTATACACTTAAATGGAATATTTGAACTATTTTTGACGCGTTTGATTCTTTTAAAAGTGATTCAAAAAATAATTCATTTTTAAAAGAAGCATACGTGTGTCAAAATTCGTTCAAATATTACATAACAGATGGCGCGCAAATGCATTATACACTTAAATCATATTTTAAAATGTTTTAAGCGCAATTACTTACCTTAATTCAGGCTGGTATTGAAGAACACAGGAGTGATGACTTACAATATTCGCCCGTTATCATATTAGATGAAATTTGCCTGAGTAAGATCCTATGCCGTCAACAGGGAGGATAATTGGGACTGGGAGATGTTGGTTCACAGCGCTAATTGGTGTTTGTTCCAATTTGACCGTCATGTTTATCCTAATCTAGGCCAAACATCATCCAAGTCTCTTCTACAGTTTACAAGGTTTCGTCTGAGTCTGCTCTTTTCGTTCTTTTTGTTCCTCATGCTGTTAAGATGATTCAAAGTACACTCACACTACCCATGCCATGCCTGGATCAGTATATGCCATTATTCCATCCAATCATTATTTCTATTGGTCACAAATCAAAGTTAGATTTTCGGTTTTGATAAATGATTCCTGATGATACAATAAGGCTCTCTTCCTATCAACCGATGAAAATAGGGAAAATTTCTATTGTATGTATATTGTGGCGAAGAAATAATTCATATTTTATTATTTAATCTAATTTTTAATTATTCGATGAAAACATTCAACACAGATTATTACTATGAATTTGTGAAATCATCATACATGGTCCTTAGCTTGCTTGTTCAATATTCTCTAGCTGTATATAGTTGTTCTTGTTTGATAATTGTCGACTAGTCGTACTGACTTCATGAATAAATCTTACGATATTCCAAGACTGATTTCTACGCTACAATATATAGAGATCTTAAAGCATATGGGAGTATGAAGTGTCTGTCGCTTACACTTTAAGTTGTAAAATAAACATAAATAGAAAGAAGTTTACGAAGAACAAGTTTGACATATGCAAGATAGTTATTTGTGCCATTCCGTGAGTTTTTCAGGAAAGTTTAGCTATGAATATTGAAATTTAGTAACAAGAAGTAAGAAGTATGGTTGAACTTTCTTTCCATTTTTTAATGCTATTGCATATTTACGACTGGTTTAACGCTAAAATCAGACAGAATACTCTAAGAGATATGGCAGGAATGAAACTCTAAACAGAATTCTGTTGTAATAATGTTAATCTATTCATGACGCGTAAGTTTCTTTTTCAAAATAAAATAATTTTTATAACTGCTCTTATTGCATTGGTAAAATGATTTGACGGCCTAGCTCATCAGTGGTTAACCCTTCAAACCGTTTTGCCAGTTCAATCTACCATACCGCTGTAATATTAGAGAGAGAAAGAGAGAATATGGTTTTACGGGCTACTAACAAAAGTATATGTTTTTGAGCCCAAAAATAATGTAGCAATCAGACAATCCGCAATGCACTATATCAAAGTATCAAGGTGCTGCAGGCAACCAAGGTTGTTCAAAAAGGTTAGATTCTCCACGCCAGGGAAGATAAAAGAAAGACAGGTGTTGATTAGATATTATGTGTTGATGTAATATTATATTGAGATGCTTTGTTTTATGCTGTCAATGAAGCTACTTCTTTGAAATGGTATTTTGAATGAACTATGAACCAAATCTTTTAAGACAGTAGATATACATATAATTGTTAATATATGATCATTATTTGAACATTTTCGGCAATACAATTCGGCAAAGAGCAAAATGAAGATTATTTTTCTTTAATAATATTAATTTTCTCTACAAGTTTATTTCACTTTCCTCCTAAGTAAAGAAGTATAACATCCATTCCACGAGACATGTACTTCCTCTGGTTGCGCATATATATGTGTGAGAGGAGATTAAATAAAAGAGTTGATATGCACTTTCAACACTGCACAAGACTTTCTGTAATATTTTCCAGGTATTTGTCTTCTCTATCATAACTTCTCGGAACTGGTGTCAACAATGGAGACAAAAGACACCAAGGATTACCCATTCAGCCAAACATTTTAATATCAAAGCCCACCAACAAATATATTCAATAGAGTGAGGGACAACAAAAGCCAAGAGAGTAGCAAATCTTTGTTGGATGTTTTAAATCGCTCTTCTATCTTCTTCCCTTTATGGTAATTAATTCGAGAGATTCCTGGCGCAGAGAGAGAGAGAGAGATATCGAGGCTCTTTAACAAACAACCTGGATCTATTGTGGACGATTAACCACTTGGCCTACTCTAGGCCAGACAAATTGTCCATAGTCAAATAACCTTTATGCAAATTGTCTATATGTAAATATATAAGTCGTTTATGAATGCACATTGTTTTAATTTCTCTCAAAGGGCTTTTCTCGGCCATAAAGCTAGCCAAGAAGAATTTAATAACATGTCGCTTTAAAATGAACCATTATGCCGGGGTTTTAAATACATTTTTAATCACTCATAACTTAAAAATATCGTTTTAAAAATAGAGAAATTCATTATTAAATCTTGTATTAAAAATGCATATATTGGATTGAATAAAAATAGATATTTGGCAATATTCGGTTGGATGAATCGTTAACGTTTGTCGAAATGTGATGCCTTAACAAAGCTCGGTGTTCAGCAACCAAAATATTGTCAAATAAATCTTTTTATTTACTCAATATATGCCATTTTATTACCTAGACTTGAATATGTTGCGGTACCAACCATGTCAGTGAGCATAGCTGTTCTATGTAGAACGAAACTTGACAATTATACCGCAAATGTTTCTTCTGAACGAAAAATCAAAATTTATTTTAAAGATAAATAACGATTATTTCTAACATTAGGGATGAAGTATGATAGGATGAATTGTGAAGAGTAATGATAAACGGAAAAATAAAATTGTCCAGGAGATGGGAATCGAACCCACAGTGTCTGCTTACCGGGCAGATGTCATGCCCACTAGACTACCGTAAGCGGAACACTGTGGGTTCGATTCCCATCCCCGGACACTTTATTTTTCCGTTTATCATTACTCTTCATAATTCATCCCATCATACTTCATCCCTAAAGTTAAAATAATCGTATTTCTCCTTGAATAAATTTCAATTTTCCGTTCAAAAGAATAATTTGCGGTATAATTGTCAAGTTTCGTTTTACAATCATAAGCCGCATTATTTGTATTATAGCTTTTCAATCTTATGAATATCACAAAAGGAAATATGTAGAAGAAGGAGCTTATATTACAAGGAAAGCTTTTGCGTTGAGGTATTCTAAAAATCCTTACATCTACAGCCTGATAATCTCACTAGAAGATCAGTCTGAACCTTCCCAGACACAGAACCTAATCCTTCCAGTGGAATATTAGGTTTCAATAAAATACAACGCACCTCTTTCATGATACACAATTGCCTGTTATAAAATAATACGTATTTAAGTGAAAGTTGATTATTCCAGCTAACCTACCCGTTCGATAAAATAATCCCTGAATCAATATTAAATTTCAAAATAAAAACATTAGGCTTCCAGGGGAAAATTATTTTCTATATTTTTATTTATAAATATCTCTAACTTTCAGGCAAGAAAGCCCTTCTACAGGAGAAATATATTTCACATTAAATCGCCAAAAGAATAAGATTGTGTGTTGATTCGTTGATATCATGCTTTCAAATAACTGTAAACATCCATTCTTATTCTACGGTGATTTTATGTAAATTATCTTCTCCTGTAGAAGGGCTTTCTTGACCAAAAAAGCTAGAGAGATTTGTAAAAAAAACAATAAAAAAAGAAAAACTCTTCCTGACGGCGTAATGCTCTTATTTTAACCTACCCCTTATTTTTACTTGTATTAGAGCTTCTTATAAGGCGTAACGTTGTCAGAAATATTAATTAACTTTATTAACACCCTATAACACGATATCCCAAACTCAGGGATATTTGCGTCAATATATTTCTAACATCAAATCAAATTGACTATATACAAAGAGAAAGGTCAAGGAAAATACAAAAATACAAAAGCCTACGTTGTCAGAATTATTGTAAAATTGACCGAACCACTCTTTGCCCTTTGTTGGATTTTCCACGGAAAGTTCATACAAGTACTGAATATACGGCTTAGCTTGTGACCTTGTTCTCCAGACACCTGTGTTAGAGTTAGATGCTATTTTTTCAACATAGTTCCTAAATATTTGCCGTTGGCTATGTAGCTGAGACCATTAATGATTAACCAGGGTCTTCTTATTTTGTATTAATTATATATATAAGATGAATTAATATCTAAATTTTTCTCAGGTTTTCAAATCGTAATTCCAAGAAGGTTGTGATATAAAAGCATATATTAGGATTTATTCTTTCTTTCAGGTCGTGAAAACAATCAAATCTCAATTTCCAGCAGTTTTGCAAGTTGAAATCGTACATCAGAGACAAATATCGTATTTATATAGATGATATTTTATTTAATCAAATTTATTTTTTTCTCTCAATAAATAATTATGTTCATTGAACTTGGATTCAATTTGAAAATAACTCGCATGTAAATTTTACTTCCTCATGTAGACAGTAAAATCATTATATATAAAGCTTCTCCTATTACAGTCACACTTTATAGAAGCTTGCCACTGTAGAACCATTTATCTTGATAAAACGATCGTCTGCTTGCACCAAATATTTGAAAAATAGATAATTAATTGCACTTGATGCATCAGCACATTATAAGCAAATGAAACTATTTTTGACACGTATGATTTTTTTAAATAAAAAACAATTTTCTACTGTCCTTACTGCAATGATAACGCGAGGGCCTGGCTCAGCAAAGTGAACCCTCCCAGCGTTTTCGCTAGTTCAATCTACAATACCGTTGTAATATTTCATTGAGCTGTTTTGTAATTGCGTAGAGATCCGAGCTACGGGCTCTTTCACCCAATGTATATCGTTTATGTCTGGATGGCGATATTTTCACAACAAAAGTAATTCTAACAAAACGGTTCAAATCTGTTTCACACGCAAAAATATTGTTTGCTATAACCTAGGCTATTGTTCAATTATTTGTTTTTGTATCAATCCATTTATAATGCTAATTATACAATTCGCACTATATTTTTCCAAATGGAATTTCTACATAGTTCCATCCAAATTTTATAATCACTCAGTTTTTCAAGTCACAGAAAAATTCCAGAAATACAAGGTGGGATCAATAAATAAGTTGAATTATAATTTATTTAAAAAAAAATAAGAACGATATTAAAAATTAGGACTTGATTTATTCAAAATATTCAAAATAATCACCTTGGCTTTCTATACATCGTCTCCATCGTTCTGGCAACTTGTAAATACCCTCTTTATAGGCACTCTTAGGAAGCGTGTGAAAAATATTTTGCACCACTTTCTGGACATCTTCATCCGAGTCAAATCGCTTTCCCTTTAACTCCTTCTTTAGTAGTCCAAAAAGGAAATAGTCAGGGGGCTAGGTCTGGACTATATGCAGGATGTTGTATGCAGTATGCTAAAACTTCAAAACCTAATTTAATGATTGTAGATACAGTTTTACATGATGTATGCGCCTTGCATTATCATGAAGGAAGAGAACACCTTTACTAAGCTTCCCTCTTCTTTTATTTCTTATACCGGGCTTTAGCTTATTTACAAGAATGTCACAATAAAAATCGCTGTTCATACGTTGCCTGAGGATAAAAAATCAAGACAGATTGGTCCATCAACATCCCAAAAAATTGTTAACAAAACTTTACCGCCGAACGTTGAGACCTGATTTTTTTTTTCTGGTCTTGGAGAGTCGCCTCGTTTCCATTCCATAGATGCACGTTTTGTCGAAGGATCATAATGATAACACCAACTCTCATCTCCAGTTACAATTTGGTCAAGAAAATGATCACCTTCCTCTTCAAACCGCTTTAACAGAGCCTTTGAAACCCGAATATGGTTAAATTTTCGGTCCAAATTAAGGAAATGTGGAATCCATCTGCAGCATGTTTTTCTAAATTGCAATTGTTCTTTAATAATGGTGTGCACAGTTCCATAGCTTATATTCAAATTGTCGGCTATGGTAAAAATGGATATTTTTCTATCTTCCAAAATTAAGTTTTCAACTGCATTTATCATGCTCTTGGCGTCGCTGTAACACTTGGTCGTCCAGGTCGCTCAATATCGGTACATGTAATTCGTCCATTTTTGAACTCGTTAACCCATTAATAAATGTTTTTTTGAGACAAACAAGACTCACCATATATATTTTTCCTTCTTTGGCATATTTTAGATGTTTGAATACCTTCTGCATTCAAGAAACGAATAACTGCACGTTGTTCAAGCGTGGTGCAATCCTTCAAGGGAGCTTCCATTTTAGTTTATTTATAAGTCTCGCGCCGCGCGTGGGAAAAAGAACAGAACACCTTAAATAGTCTCTCGATGTTATTTTTAATATTCTGTGGTTTAAATTATTTTTTCTTTTCTTTCTTTAAGAAATAGATAATTCAGTTTATTTATTGATCCCCCCTTGTACTTACATAAAAGAGGTCTATCAGAAACGCCAAATTGTTCCTGCGGAGAAACGGAACAAACTGCTCTTCACCTCATTTACGACTGTCCGAACTTTACAGAATTGAGAAATCGATTGTTCCCTGATCTAAATGATTTAAACTCTTCCATCCCAGCCACATTGTCTATATAAATTTTATGAACTCTGTACATTTGTGAATATTTTTATTTCTAAGTTTTAATTTGTTTGTTCCTCTGTAATAGGCGCAAATATTTCAATATCGTGCCTGGTTGATTGATAAAAAAGGATTTAAATGTTAATTTTACACAGGGATTCTATGAATAATTGAAACAGGAAAATGCATTTGTAGAGTTTGGTGGATTAGAAGTTTATTCAGGAGCCTGTTGAGAGACTCACCATTGAAGATTTGATTCCTCCCAATATTTTTACAACTTTTATGTTTATATATATTTTATGTGTGCATGCTTGTATGAGATAGATAATAATCATGAAAAATCTAAAAGCGTTAAAAAATTGAAACACAATCGGTATTGTATCACAAATAATTCAGGTAGCATTGAATATTATTTCCCACAAGTCTCGCTTGTAGATTACACACAAAAATTGGTAAGAAAACAACATTTCGTGGAGTCAATGTTTAAAATTCCCTAGGGGCATGCTGGGAGATAATGAGGCAAGTCTAATGATGATGATGGCCCGTTCATCATCACCAGGCCTGCAGACGATAACGTTTTACTGCCAATTGATCTGCTCCACGTTAAAAATTTAAAGTCGGAGCTACGTGCCTGTCCACGTTATGGCGCCTGTAGCCTTGGTAATTGTCTCTCTTCTTTTCTTTCCCAGAGCCACCATTGTCCTGGACTTACTTCTTCCTCAACTCGCTACACCTATATACCGCTCCTTTACCGACCATATCGTCATGATAACTACATCATGGAAATTTTGTAGATTAGAGTTAGACTTATCCTTGTCTTAATCCGATAGTCAACAAATATATAACTGGTGAATAATTGATGTTAGATTGAGGTCTTCTATTTGGTTTATATGAATTCTACAAGACCGCAGTCACGTTTGGAGGAGATTAATAGAATTGCCGAATGTCGTGGTTTATTTGGATGAGAAAGCGAAGACTAAAATGCGGCTGATTCCACACTCGCCTTTTCAGTGATACACTAACCTATGCACGGTGTATTATGTAGCCACTGGGTATGTGTCAGGACCTGGAGGCTGTTGGGTTCTGTGCTGCCTGGTGTATAGGAGCTACATCTATGCTTCCTTCCTATGGTGTATCTTAATAAGACCGGTGTGGTCTTAATGAAGTTATGTGCGGGATTTAAGCATTTGCAAGTTTACTCATAACTTTTATAGTTGATCAAATAAATAAATGTATTCAGCATACTTTTATGTTTACATACATTAAATTATACGAAATTCAAGAATATAAGCGCGAATCGCGCGAATGGAGTACAAAACAA